TCAAAGATTTTATATGTGGCGACCAAGAGAGTTTATTATCGATAAGAATCCCTAAACATGTAGCTTTGGAAACAAATGACAACTCATTTTGCCCTAAACAAATTTTCTGTAGGGGTCCGATGAATCTTGATTTTGATAACAACATTAGTTCACTTTTTGCGGGATGAATAGTCATGAAGTTATCCTTAGCCCATTTGTTTAAGTCAACGATCGCTTTCTGTATCTTAAATAAAACTTCATCAACAGTATTTCCAATGCAAAAAACAGTAGTATCATCTGCAAACATTTCAACGGAAGCGTTCGTTGTGGCTCCGGGCAGATCATTTGAGTAAATGCTGTAAAGTCTAGGACCAAGTAAAGACCCTTGGGGTACACCCGTATCTATTTCCAACAATTCTGAGTTTGAACCATTTACGGTGACAAATTGTTTACGATTATCAAGATAATTTAAGAGCCAATCGTAAAAAGAGCCACTAATACCTATAGAGTGTAATTTATCCATAAGAACTGTGTGGTTGACGCAATCAAACGCTTTCCGAAAATCAATAAAGACTACGCCAATAATATTGCTTTCATCCAAGGCTAAACGCCATCGTTCTGTAACGGAAAGTAAGAGCAGCTCGGGTGAGCTTCCTTTTCTGAAGCCCCATTGATTTAAGGAGATCAGATTGTTACTATATAAGAAGTTATCAAGTTGTTGGCTTACAACATTCTCCAATAGCTTGCCCGGAATGCTAAGAAGGGAAATAGGCCTGTAGTTTTCACAGTCGAGAGTATTCCCCTTCTTGTGAAGACATTTTACCTGTGCCTGTTTCCACTGGCTGGGGAGTTTGCATTCCAAAATACTTCTTTGAGCCAGTGGCATAAAGCAATCCAAAAATGCGTCTCCAATAAGGTACAGCTCTTTGCTGGATATGTCATCAGGTCCACTCGCCTTGCCAGGTTTCAAACACCTTAGAGAAGATTTTAAAAGATCTCTGTTAAGGGCTATGTTATAAAGAGAGGCACTGTTTTTTCTTGCGGACTGACAAGGAGAGTTTACTGAAGAATCTTGTGTTGATTTCGAGAGGGATTTTCCAACATTGACAAAAAAGGAATTTAAAGTGTTGGCCTTTGATGTATCGTCTGCGTGAATAACTCCGGAACTATCTTTAATCGGTCCGATATTTGTAGCTGTTTGTTTTCCCTCGAAAGATCTTACTGTCTTCCAAAAATCTCGAGCAGAGGTTGTCTCATTAAATTTTGTTAGCCAATAACTTGATTCCGCTAATCTAAGGAGTTTGGTGCATTTATTTCTTGCCTTCTTGTAATCTATCCAGGCTTGTGAGCCCCTCGGTGTTTTCTGTGCTTTAAGGAGTAATTTGTAGCGTTTGTTCAGCTCTTTACGTATGGAAGAGTTCATCCAGGGTAGGCCCCCTCTTCTTATCTTTACTCGTCGAGCATGAAGGTGAGATTTCATAATGTCCTTGTATAAATACTCCCAAGCCCAAGTAGCATCGTCCAGATCGTGAAAGACATTGCAGATACTCCATGGGGCTGCAGCAAAGTCCATTCTTAATGAGTCTAGATCTACTTTTTTATAATCGTAGACTGTTTTGAGCGTTGGTTTCTGACGTTTTCTTTTGAGATTTACGATTGCATATATTAAGTGGTGATCTGAGATTCCTAAATCACAAACACCCTGGTGAGAAATTTTTGAGGTGTCAGAGCAAATCACCAAATCAATCAGCGTTGTGGAGGTGTCAGTGATCCTTGTTGCCTTGTTGATGACATTCTTTAGATTAAATCTATTCAAAAGTTGACGGAATTTCCAGGTTGAAGAATCTGTGAAAACTTCTGCACAATTTCAGTCTTTACAGATTCATCTTCAAAGCGGAGTGGAGATTTTTTGGTATTCCTATTGGTTGCTTTACAGTTTTTCTGTCAAGTTTGGTTATGTGAATTATTCCAAAACATTTAACATCAGAGGCCATTGTGGGAGATCAATTTCAAAAAAGGAAATCCTTAACATGGTTTATTAGTTTGGTACTGTGGGAATCTTTGGGCAAATTTCAAGACAATCTAACATATTTCTGTATCCTCTTGATTTGTTCGAAGAGGAAACACCTGCATAAAACATAGTAAATTTTTGTTTCCATATGTTTGCAAAAATTTTAAGCCTTTTTGTGACAATATGTCAAGCTATGTCCACCCTCTGACCGCTAGAAATGGCAACCACCCATAGAAACACAGATACATCCTGCAGAGTCTCAGGAGACTCTTCCCAAAACCAAATTTCCTTGAACACTATCTAGCATAAGCACCAGACAGACCTTTGTTCCATCCTGATTGTTAGTAATTTTGAACTTTACAAGGAAATTGTTGATGGTTTGTGACCGACTGTGAGGAGAAGAGGTTGCTCAAACCATAAGCCCTTATCTGTTCTAGCAGCATTTTTTTTTTTTTGGCCCTTCCTGGTCAGTTTTGTCTTCTTGCTCTAAAATTTGGGCTACTCTATGGCTCTCATCCAAGGACTCTTCTCCTTTTCCTCTTTCCTCATTCACAGTCTAGTTTTAAATGCAAACCAACTACAGAGATCTTCCTGCGCAACTAAAATCAGGAGATGATCATGCAACTGAAACTCAAGAACCAGGATGTTTTGTGGTGAAAACATTTTAGCAGTTTCTTATATTGACATGATATAATTGGCTATTCATACTTTAGCATACTAAAGAATTCAATCTGAAACACATTTCTGAAGATAACTCAAGTGTATTTTAGCATTTTACAAAATTTTTCCTTGAAAATTTCAGTTTAAACTGTAATGCTGTAAAATCTGTTTTAAACATGAAAGCTCTGCACTTCTGATCACCATTAGGATCAACTTTTAAAACTCGTGTTCACCATAATACTCAGAACTTTGGGATAAGTTGATTTCCTAGCTCTAAAATGATGAGGTATTTAGTAACCACTAAACTATCAAGGTGATTGAGTAATATTACTGGAATGTTTAATTTACAGAGTTTATATACTTTCTCCTTCATTTTACATGTGATATAGAGTTGTATAGAGATGTTTTAGTTGAGAATTTTGCAAAGGAAAAAGAAGGAACAAAGCCTCGGTGTGAAAAAAATTAACAAAACAAAACAAAAAAAAAAACAACAAAAACTGGCGAACTGCCATTAGGACGAATATTATGTTTAAATTTCTTTGTTCTGGTATGTGGTCATTTCGATTTGAGCTGAGTACATCAAAACTATTTAGCACTCTAAACAGCTAATAGAGACTTACCTGAGGATAATTAACCAAATATAGCCTTTAGCTATCAATCTTGGGTATGAATAACGAGTTCCACTGAGTTTGAAGAGAGGAAGGCCACTACAGAAAGGTCTGTTTTCGAAAGTGAAGTGTACAGTACCATCATCTTGTGTTTATTTGCTTCCGAGATTTCCTGGGTTAGAGAGTCAACAAGCTAAATTAATGATTACGATCGATCATAAGTATAAAGCTTACAATTCAATGCCTGTTTACAAACTCCCTGTCGATGTTTGTTGAGACGTAATTAATTTGTCGATAACATGAAGTGACGCTTCACCGAAATTAAAATATTGCCACGAGCTTTCGAAAAGAATTCGCAAAAGAGAGCTTACAAACAGGCAATAACCAAATAATTACAAGTTCTAACTATCACGAGGAACTCATTGCTCTGTCTGAAGTAGTTTCAGAATATTTGAGGAGAAGAGTCCTCATGGAGGTCAACGCCACAAGCTAAACCGAGACATACTCTTCACGTCATCAATAGTAATGCTTTTGGAAATAAGGAACAACAACTTCGAGCTTAATCACTCAATCACGAAATCCCTTTCTCTGAAAAAGAGAAACTGGTCGAGATCTGAGCCGGGCACAACCACACGTACAGTTGAATATCAGGGTTTGAGTCCTTTCAAAAATGGAAATGCATTTTCAGCAAAAAGTTCGGACATAGTAGTTCTACCTGTCTTAAACACGCTTGGAGGAGATAATGCCGTTTCTTAAGTAACCACCAAGCAGAATTTGAACTCAGAATTGTCAAAATGAACTTCGAAGTTTTTTCGCAGAAAAGTACTCACGAACACATCCAAAGGCACGTTTACACCAATGAAATTACGAACCAAATAATCCGCCTGTACTCTGTGTTGGCAAGGCAAGCGACGAAAATAACCCTCTAAACCTTAGATTAAATATTTACTTTTAAAACAGTTTGTTCATCACAAACCTTCGGAAGGAATACCGCGTACTGAGCGAGTTATTCCTCCCCGCATCTTGGTACCAACAACCAGCCATCTTAGATCTCTTTTCAAAATAACTCGGGTCATGTGACCTCAGGCCCATGTGCCCGACTGTAGTCTGAGGGGCGGAGCCTTTTGGAGGGAACTGATTGACGGATTTTATCATTTACGTAAGTAATCAAAAATGAAAATGATACATAATAACCGAAACCAGACGACAAAAAAATAACAATTATACTCTGTAATGTTTTTATAAAACTCCTATTAGGGCTTTTTTCTCTCCATCAATTTTCAAGGGGTGAAGAGAGAGGGAAAAAGGTGTAGCCGGTGTTCTTTTTCAGGGGTATGCTTTAGCTCGATACATTCTTCGCTGTTGGTTACTAAAAAAGAGAAATCAGAAATCCTTCAGAGGGGTTACACTCCATAAAACAGTCAAATGATAGGCAGACCTTTGCTATTTCGGGGGCAAGAGGGGCATGATTGTAGAGCATCCTTGTCATTTTCTCTAAATGACCAATAAAAAAAGAGGGTTTAATCTCACTCTGTGAAAACAAAAACAAAATATTTCGTTTAATCAGGGGACCACAATCTAAATTTCAATAAATGTATTGTTGTTTTTATCTTTCAGGAATTATGAAAGGAGGGACAAAAAAATATTTAAAAAAAGAAACTTAAATATAACGTGATGCTAAGACAATTCGCCATGATCTTTTCCTGCCTTTGGTGCAGAAAGAGATATTTGGTTGTCACACCTTAATACTGTTTTTGGTTTCTTGTTTATTGATCTTCAAACTTTAATTTGGCATTGATAAGTGATACAATTACATTTGAAAATAAACAAACTGTTTCTTGATCTCTAATTAATATCTATAAAGGAGAGCAATTTAGTTATCGTAAAATTAGATCATATTGAAGAAAATTCTATGGCTAAAGAGTGGATGTACTGAAGTGAAGTCTAATGCTATCATTACTTTCTTCACAAATGTAAATTAGTAAGGACAGTTAAAAAGTATAAATGTAGATCTAAGAAATCCCAGTTACACCGTCATTAATGCTTGAGAAAAAAAGGGATTTGAAATAAGTTAACTTTTTTTTAGCCTTAAACAGAAGTACCGATGTTCTCTTCTTCATGATTTTTTTGAGAATGAGATGCCAGATTCAGCTGCAAGGGTCACTTTTGAATACAAGATGACAAGGCTCTTACACTCCTTCTTAGCCTGAACTACCAACATCCTAACTAAGATGTTCTTTCAAAACACTTGTTTAAATACTTCAAAATTATGAATTAAGGAAAAAAAGAGAGGAAAGAAAGGCTTCTTAACAAGCATGTATTTCAATTTCACTTAATTCTCATTTATAAGCTCCACTATCAAACTAAATGATGACATACTAAATGTAGCTCATGATTAAATGTGTTTCCTTTAACTTGCCCCATAGTTTTGACCTTATTTAAAATGGAGAAAAGTGTAGCTTGTGTAGTAGGTGCTAGACAAGAGTGCAAGCAACATACCACAAGAGAGCAAACACAAGACTTATACACACAACCTCTAGCTGGTGTGTCAGCTTAAATCACTTTAACACTTCCTACTACATTAAGCACCTACTACCAAAGCCAGTGACTTCACTTGTTTAAATAGAAATTATGGCTGTTGGTATAAACTGTCCAAGAGACCTGTCAGATGAGCTTATCCCCTAATATGCTGACTTCAACAAACCATTTTGACTAAAAAACCAACCAGGTCAAGGATATGTTTTGCTTACTGTGAGGAGGAAAACACATCTTTCATAAGTTCAAGAAAAAAGATGGGATGCAAAGAAGCCATTAGTGTTTGGGTGGTTACTGATTGATAATAGAGAGACTATTTTCAACAATACATGTAAACTCTATTGGCTATGTAATCAATGCCAGTTCCTCAAATAACTTGTAACCTTAACATTTACATATTTTTAAACAAAATAGAGAACACTTTCTCAAGTACCACAGTATGGTATTCAAAAAACAGGCATTACTGGTTAGCTTTATTTACTTGTCTTTTTCTAAGTGACATCCCACTAATAAGTAACAAATTATCTTAAGCTGGCTTGTATCTTTGGTTTATTTTTACTATTCTGACACCATGAGGTAACTTATACAAGCTGAACCAAAACATATCAAGAAACCTTAAGCTGCAGTATACTATTGTTAATATTTGTAGCACAAGAATGGAAATAAATTGTCCTTAAAAATCATTACAAGAACCTGATATTCCAATATTTTCCATTTTTTCAATTTTGAGCAGATTATTTTGACCCTCTTTTACTTCTACGGTACAATTCCATTTCGACTTTGTACTGAGCATTAACCCTTAACTCTGATGAGTGATCAAGATTGAACTTCTCCTTACAATATCCAAACAATGTCATGCAGACAAGTAATGAGAATAAAGAAAAATATCAATAAGATTTTGAGTTGATCCAATACCAAATTCTCCAAATTAACATTATAGGAGCTTTATGGCAGACAATAATGAGTTCTTGGGAGTGAAAGAGGTAAAACCGGTCATCAAACCCACGGATATTATAATAAAAATGCACAATCCAGAAAAGATGAAATTTCATCCACATGTAATTCATGTCCATTTGTAAAATGTTTCAAAGACAACTGCTGTCATACACAGTCATGAGCAGTTTCCTTGTGTTTTATCCATGTGTTTCAAAACTAACAGGTCCTTTTGCCTCTCTTGTTTCTTATGTAAAAACCTTGTACATTAAAATCCTGGAGTTCAGATGCGCAATTCAGAACTGAAAACATGATTCGACATACAGAAAAATTTGGCAGTTATTTTCCAGTGTTTAAGGCCTGCTCTGGTCAACTAAATGTAAGGATTGATACCAGATACATAATGTAACATATTGCCACTAACATCAAAAAGTTTTACAACACAGAACAAAAGTTGTGCTGCAAGTGGAAAGATACATCTCAAGAGAGACACAAGGGTCATCCCATAAAATCCATACCTCAGAATGCAGACATTAATTTTGATATGCACTTAGCAGTTCAGTTGTGGCACTGAGCAAGAACAAGACCAAAGCTGGTTAAATTCCTAATAAAACTTCTACTATAAGAAAATAATGTGATCTCTTTCTCACACAGTATCATCATTTTTTTACCTGACCCATCATTTCAAATACACATATTTTGGACACAGTTACTGTCATATTAACTATGATAGAGCAAATTCTTGCTTGCAGAACTTTACAACATCCTACAATAATGTACAACGGAAGATTCCTTTGGATTGTTTATTTTGTTGTGTCACGCTAATCGTTGATGTTGCTTGTGGACTTGTTTGCTCCTACAAACCAAAACATAACAACAATCACACTTATGGTTGCCATTGCAGTGCAAAATAAAAGTTTGAAATAAATTAAATTAAAAACACAACTGGTTATAAGGTCAAGGTAATTCACTGACACCTAAATTCTACTGATTGTGTAAAACAAACTTACAAGTTTTTTGTCCATTTTTAGTTTTATATCTCTCGCAAGCGTAAAAAAGGCCTACAGAAATAAAAGCAGTTAATATCATTGTTAGCAACGATTGTAATACAAATACTGCTCAGAGAATAACTAGCATCTTCTAAATTTGATTACTTAGAGATTACAAAATAATTACATTTGATCTGCCACAAAGTTGATTATGTAAATTGGCCACTGTAAAGAGTTTCTAAAGCTAATGTTTTCATTGTCAAACCTTTATCAAAAGTGGAAAGTTAAGGGCATTGAAGAAAATTTTCAAATGGATAGTTTACAGTTTGAAATTTTATAATTTTTTAAGTGGTTGATTTCTGTAAGAACTTTTTGGTGGTTAAGATAGTTACTGTGAGGACTTGGAAACAGTCTTTAACTTTTTAAAGGTCCTCTGTGGTGTGCAGAGCAGACTATTACATTTTTAGAATGTAAATTTGCCCTTTGTAGAAAATACAATTACATTGACATACCTCTTCTACATTGATACTAGCTTTTGCACTTGTCTCCATGAATTTTATTCCATATTCTGTGGCCAACTAAAAATGAGAGAACAAAATAAAATTCAACAGAGCCTAGAAAAAATGTGTAGCTACATATAAACTGTGTCCAAAAATCATCTACACTAGGAAGCAGGAAAGGGAACTACATAAATTTAATTTAGTACAATGGACCAGTCTCTAGTAAAGTACACTGTAACTTTCAGAGTGGTCACTTTAAGGAAATTATCCCAAATATTTCTGTTGAAAACTTGCTACTGGCTGCCAGCAGTAACCTGTGTTTAACTTGACCTGACTTGTATTGAGAACCAAGGGGATAAGTTTCTAAAGCAACTGTGGTGCTGCATCGGTGACAGAGTATAACAGGGTAATTTAGTATTATCAAATCAGTTGATAACATAAATTAGCCACCATAAGAAGTTTATAAGCTGATATTTCCAGCGTTAGCACTTCATTATTTGCTCTGGCATAGAACTGATGTTCAAAACATCAGCCAATAAACTCAGTTAATATTACCAAATTTCCTTGTATTTAGAACACTGTACAAACATGTTTACCTGGGTTCCTCTTTCTTTAGAGACTAATCTTCTATCCTCCATATCACATTTGTTTCCCAGAACCATTTTTTCAACATCAGAAGATGCATGCTGAAAAATCAATCCACAGACTTGGTTTGCAAAGTACAAACAATAAAGAAAATTCTACAATAAAACTAAAACAGCTACAGTTAATTAAAAAATACATTACGATACAAATAGCAAAACAAACTAACCTCTTCAATATTTCTGATCCAGTTCTTGATATTCTCAAAAGATTTGTCATTGGTAATATCATAAACGAGCATGATTCCCTAAAAATTGATAAGTAAATGAAGAAAGATTTGAACTAGTGTTCATAGAATAACTGATACAAGGAAAGGTGAGCATTCCTCTTACCATAGCACCGCGATAGTATGCAGTGGTGATAGTTCGGAACCTTTCCTGTCCAGCGGTGTCCCTGAAAGTCAAGGAAATATGCAACAAAATAATCAATAATAATGCCTCAAAGGAAATAATTTTGTCAAGCCTATGAGCAGACCTTAAAACAATAGACAGTTCAAAGACCATCACATTTTCAAAAAGGTAATTGATATTAAATAACAATTCTTGTGCTTCAAGAAGTCAGATTTCAAAACTGTGTTTTTTAAGGCAAAAGTACAATGTAGATCTTGGGATACTTTCCACAACATGCTTAAGGATGCACTTCTAATCAATAGTTTTGCTTTCTTACTGTATTAGTTTCCCTTTCCATTCCTACTGTTTTTCAAAATGTATTATACATATTAAAGGATTTAAATTATTTATATCAATAAAACACCAAACTTTTAATTTTATCACTAATCTCTAGAATATTCTAGAGACATTTGCAAAATTTCAAGTATCCTTAGTTTCCTAACCAAACATTGCAACAAAATACGGAGAGTGTCCATCACAGACTTCAGTGCTCCAAGCAACAGATGGCCTCTATTCAAGCTTAACCTCCTCCATGGTATCCCCAATTATTATTAGATGTGTTTGGTGACAAAACAAACACAGAAATATTGCATTGTGATCAATAATATAAACCATTGTAGCAGTTCACGGATTAACCTAAGATTTAGAGACTAACAAAATTTCCTTTACCATACTTGATTATTGGAGCTTAATAACACACACACACACACAAACAAAAACAAAGGACTATCTTACAACAGCCCCTGAAAATTTTGGCAACCCCCTTACCAGAAAGTGAATGGAGAATTTTAAGTGTTTTGAAGAAAATGGTAGCACATCAAGCCGCCCCTTTGAGGGAATATGCATTAAATTTTTGACCCCTAGGAGTAACTCCTCAGAATATTGCCCCTGAATCATACATCAGGGTCACAGGAAAAAAAGAAATAATCACCAAATAAAAAGTATTTGATGGTTACACAAATTCTCCTTGTCTGCACCTTAATGTAAGTATAGAGAACAGCTCTGGAGAATATGAATTCTGATGTTAGGGTGTAAAGGGTTAAGAGAGCTCCTACTTTATATTTGAATCACATAGTCTAGATACATGCAAGAGAGGTCATAAATACAAGTTTTTATAAATTGCCTTGGAATAAAAAAATTTATACATGCATGTATGTTTTGCCACATGCTTATCTGGCAGTTATATTACTATCACATGCTTCTTACACCAGGGGACAAAAATAAATTGTGACTAATGGAGTGTTGCCACAACAAAAATGCAGATCAAAATCGATGGAAGTCTGATCATGATTTATTTAAAACAAAGTGGAAAAGACTCCGTTGAGTTCAACTTAATTTAAATTTTTTGATATTTTCTAGCAACATTCACAGATCAAAAGAAAAAAACTGAAAATTCATGACTGCCTCTCCCACTTCTGAAGAAGTCTTTGAACTCTATGCAATGTGTGTTAGCGAACGAGATTAATCTGCAACAAACCAATTTTGCACATCTTTCTAATCAATAGTTGACAACAGACTGAATTTACATTAATTACTAGGCGAATATGAAGGGACCGTAGAATCGATGTGTGAAATAATGATTTGAAGTAAGTCCAAAATCGGTATTGCAAATTGGTCTCGGTATTCAAAAATGATGCCCAGTTACTAAATACCGGTTTACCGTTTCACGTAATTAAAAACCATGGTGTAGCTAGCATGAAAAATCGATAAGGAAATGAACAATGGCTTCAATTCTGCCTTGGAATTTCTGCGAAGTAGAGGACGCAACGGAGTGACGAGGATCAAATAATTTACTTGCCCTTGCAGAATAATCACTCACCATATCTGAAGCTTTATCTTCTTGCCATCTAATTCTATTGTCCTTATTTTAAAGTCGATGCCTGAAACCACACAAAAACACTCTTAAATTCGTTGTATTCAGGAGGCCTGTAAGGGAGAATCCAATAAAATTCCACAGCAATCGCCACTCAGTGTTGCAAGGTTTTACGAATTATGTTCACCCACCTATGGTGGATATAAACGTTGAATTGAAGGCATCCTCAGAAAATCGGAACAGCACACACGTCTTTCCAACACCTGAATCTCCAATCAGTAATAACTTAAAGAGAAAATCATACGTCTTAGCCATTCCAGTACAACGATGAAGCTAACTGCTGATCTCTTCCGACTTTCCGACTGTTGAACTGGGCAGGCGTGGCAAAGAGACCCCGACTGCGCAGACGTAATAGACACGCAATGAGTAGCCAGGCCATATACAGAAGCGTGAAAACCTGGCGCGAGTTCCCAGGCTCTTCGCTTCGTCATTCCGGCTTCCTTCGTACCAGACACTTCCGTTATCGATTCCATGTAAACTCTCTCAAATATATAAACAACATTATGGGTGAGAAAGATTATGAAGCAACTTACAAAATTCTTATCCTGGGAGACAGCGGTGTTGGTAAAACCTGCCTGATCTTTAGATTCATTGAGGATGTATTTTCTGATTCCTATATCTCAACAATCGGTACGTTGTTTATACAGGTCTTACTTCATTTTCCGCAATCGATCGTGCTCTTTCGCAGTTTTTGTTGCGTAAACCTTTACATGCTTAATTTTTAAGGCTATGATTTCCACTCTGCAGCTCAAGTGTACTTAAAACACACTCCAAATAATTTACTTAGTGTAATATTGGCGTTCTAAGCCCCTAATCAATATAAAATACATCATTGTTTTAGGGAAATGGTATATTGTAGTAGCTGGTTTGCATCAGCTTAAGTAACCAAGATGGTTTATATTACTTGGGGTTGAAGCTCCAACACGATGATATTAATTGGGTCAAAATTAACTACTTTTCTTGAGCGCTGCTATTCTTTACTCATTGAATGATGTAAACTTATCGGAGCATAATTTTGTTAAACGTCTCAACTAAGCAGTTTAAGTTCGTATTGGACACAAGTATGGTCTTGTTTGCTACTGTTTGATTGATGAAATTATTTTGATATATGACAGTCTTTCGAAACTAGATTCCACTTTCATAGCGACTACCTTTTTTTTCTTGGAAAATCGAGCCCCTTAATCATCATCATTTACATAACATGCCACAAACAAAATAATATGATTAATTTTTAAGACTGAGAATGCAAACAATATAACTGAACTTCTTGTAAAAAATTATGAACGTTAATTTTTTTCTTCTTCGCTACAGGTATCGACTGTAGAAGCCGAGTTGTTGATTTAGATGGTACAAGAATACGACTTCAAATATGGTATGTTCAAGAAAACTTTGGAATCTCTTTTTAAAACTGCTATCTTATCTACTTGTACAATTAAATTTTCCCTGAAAGAGCTTGGGTTTTACAAATATTTATAATTTATCTGTAATATAGGCAAATTTTAGAAACACACAAACAGTTCATAAAGAACAAGGATTCATGATTTTTAAATTTCCACTTTTTTTAGCTTTTACTGGTAAATTTCCTGAACCAACAAGTACATAAAGAGACAAATTATAATTTAAAAAAAAAACACACAAAATGATGGCATAAGATACCAAATTTTTATTCAAATCTATGCTTTCTGACAAAGCAAATAAGCTAATCTTTACAAATGTTAATAATTAAAGATTGGGCAATAATCTATCATCTGTTTATTTATCTTCATGAAGCCTTTATAACATTGTATGTATTGTTTTGTGAGGCTAATGACCATTACCTTGGCCCATGCAGAAGTACCCTTTACTTATTTTGATTTTCAAGGTAAACAGTCAAGCTGGAAATTTCCCTGAAACTGTATTGCATGCTTTTAATTTCTGGCTACTGTCAGTGACAATATTTTTTGTTATGAGCTGTCCAGATATGCATATACTGTATTAATTTATCATTCACTAAATCAGTGTCAAAGGGTGACAGAGGGTACCCTCTATGTGTTCTTTGAAAGTTTATTTTTTCCAATGTTATCAGGTGTTTTGTCTCAAAATTTGTTTTAGTTCCTTTTTTGTTTTTGCTGATAAAGGGACACAGCTGGTCAGGAGAGATTCAGAACACTTACTAGTGCATATTACAGGGGAGCAATGGTACTAATTAAAATTTTTTGTAATACTTATAAGCATATGTAATAACATAATTTCAAGTGTACTTGGTGTTAATAAGCACTGGTAAATTTTTTGAAGACAACAAAATTGGTGAATAATTTTCATGAAAAAACATTGCAGGAAGGCAAGACAAACAAATTTTTGAATATGTGGGCATGCTATTTGTAATTTGCATTCGTGTTACAACTTTATACTGGTGTTAAATGATGAGAATGCATTCATTTTCAGCCAATTAGAAGCACATAATTTTTTCATATACATTTATTATCCATGAAATAAATATGGTGTTTTCCATCAAAATTCAGCCATGGAAATCTGGTTAGAGCCTGAAGAATGATCTGCTTTCTGATTATATTTGAGGCCTCTACATTTTGATAGATAGATACAAATCCTTTCCTGTAGTAAAAAAAAATCATACATTCAATATGATCATGCCTTTTCAATTTCAGGGAATTATTTTAGTTTATGATATAACTACTGAGGACTCATTTAAACACATATCACAGTGGTTACAGAACATTCAAGATGTAAGTAAAATTTTTCTGCACCTTCTCCTAGTGCCTTTTTTTTTTGTTTATCAGTCAAAACATTTAGACATCAAATTTCCATTGATGGTGACCTCTCTATATAGAGTGCCTCTCCACAACACCCAGGATTCTTTGTCCTTATGCTATCAGTGTCTGCCAATTAATACTTTTCACCCCTTTCCAAACCTTGGCACATGGCCCTTAACAAATACCATAGATGTTACTCTCTATTATGGCCTGTTGGTCCTTTTGTAAGGTAGTCAAACATATGTGTACTTCAACAATTGTTAGATTTGCATTCAAAATATTTCTTAAAATCAACTGAAATTTAAACCAAGTACTGTAAATCCTAGTTACTAGCAATAAAGATCCTAGGGCAACTTTCTCAGGTTCTTGGAACTGCCTTAGAAGATCCACAGGGCTTAAAATTCACCATGATCATTGCACATAAGTGTAACTTATTGAACATTCCTATCATAGCCCTATGCAGGAAGTTTGTCACCATGGACCTTGTTAAAAGCTTAGCTTGGCACAATTTTCCTATAGCTCTGTGGTAGAGCATTCGAAGTACTTATGAGAAGGTCATAGCTTTGACTCTTGTTGGGAAAACTCAGATTTTCTTCCTCAACGTATGCCAGTGTGACATTCACAGAACATCTTCTTTCAAGATCCACTTTATTCACACAAAACTCATTTCTATTTTTATCTGTATGATGAATTTATAACAACAAATGATATAACAATAAAAATGTTTTGCATAACAATGAATACCTGATCACATTTTTTTATGTATTTCTGTTAAGAATGCTTCACCAGATGTCTGCAAAGTTCTAGTGGGTAACAAACTGGATGCTGAAGATGAAAGAGTCATAGAGACCAGCAGGGGAAAATCAGTAAGATGAACAATGAAACTTAGGCCTTACTTAGTTGTCTTACTTAGACAACTTTACAGAGCACTTATATGGAGTTGTGAGTTGTGGCAGCTCTCTCCCTCCACCATTCTCTATTGTTACAGTTAGGCAAGTTTTATATTTGACTGTCTCATCTGGGGCAGGTGAGCCCAGCCCAGGTGTTTATATGAGAAAAAGTTGGCTTTCTTGGATTTTGGTGCCATTTCCTGGGTCAGACTTTTCAACAACCTGAAAGAAAGTCATCATCAGAGTCAAGGGAGGAGTTTGTTGTCATTTGAGTGTTTTAAAATTATTAAAATAATTTTTGTTCATGAAACAGATAACCAGTCTTCCTGTGGTCCAGACTGCTGTGATGCAAAAGCAAATTTTTGTTGAATCCTGAAATAATAAAAACGTAATAACCAAATAAAAAGATGGGACAATTCTAGGTTGAACTAATAATCAGAGGAAGTTACTGCATGAGATCTACACAGCCACTGGCTATCCCCTGATGAGTAGTTTTACCTATGGCATTTTTGGTTTATACATTTTGTAAGTCAAATTAAAGGGATGAAAAATGTTTTTTTCAGGAGACTGAAGGCCATGAACTAGAATTTTTTGAAACCAGCGCACGGACAGGGCAAGGTGTTACAGAGGTGAGAATAAATTTGAGAATATACTTATTTATTTTCTTGAAACGTTTCGTTTCCTTTTATACCCTCGCCATTAGTGGCAAAGTGAGCATCCTCTAGGTTCCTATTTTCAGAGGAACCGTGGGAAAAAAGTATGGGGAAAAAAAAAACTTTATTCAGTTTTGGATATGAAAGTGATGTTACAACACTCTTTCAACCCAAAAACGATTATGTCCACAAAGGCTAACAGGCAAGAAGTTAGTGTAAGATCTACCTGCGTCCCTGTTTAGTTCCTTTGAATCATATTGCAACTTTTTTCTATTATAATATTTTTTTTCTCTGTTGCTACCTTAAGATCTCTTCCAAACAAACTAACTCTTTCTAAGGCGTGATCCACTCGCCAACACCGGAAATTCATGGAAGGACAACGGAAACGAAACTTCAAAGGATACACGAAAAGCCTCCAAATGCATTTAGCGCATGGAGGTTAAATATTTGTCTCGTAGTTTTATTCGTTTTAGTTTTGGAGAAGCCTATTCAAGGCGCTCCTTTCGAAAACATGGAGCGGAATAATTAACGGCGCCTGATCATTAGCAGAATGAAACCGAGGGAGATCTCGGACGGGTCACCCGACCCAAGCCTCCTTCGTTTTTTCACTACTCCGCCACCATCGCGCCGTTTTACTATCACGCTTCGTTTTACTACTTGAACGCCTAGAACAGGCTAGTTTTTAAACTGAAAGGACGTCGACGGTTGTTTTCATTTTAGGCGTTTATGGCTGTAGCAAGACAGATTAAAGTATCAAGAGAAAGACGGGTTAGTAGTGATTACAATTTATGAATTACGTATGGTGTGAGACGCATAGGGTCAGTGCGCTGGTCCCCGGGGCAAGAGGCCGGGTTTCGAGACCTAACCGATTGATTTTACTGTGTCAGCAGGACAGTACCCATTTCTCAGAATGAGTGAATGTACTTAGGTGTACGACAGTATGGCAAAATGGCTTCGTAAGGTCGTTCGAATTGGCGTTTTTATTTTGAAATAGCAATTGATTCTCTGATGGATCGTTTCTAACCAAAGTTTCGTCTGTTCCTTGAATATGCGTGAAAATGGTATCAAAAGTGCCCCAACAAGCTGTGATCCTTTTTTTTTTTTTACAAATTTATGATTACTATGATTTTTAGCTGTTTGTGCCTGAAACTTTAATTCGATTAGAGCTGTACTTGATATTGAGAAATTCGTACCGTGTGATCAGAGCTAAAAAAAACGATTTCAACTTATTGAGAAATAATTGGGCATATTTCTTTCTTTCCTGTTTTTTTCTGTCTTTGTTTCTTTTCTTCCATTTTGAAGAGAGAAAGGAGAGAGGTCTCCAAGGGGTCTGCCACTAATAATGGATTATACTCGTCTCAAGTCTTAGTGTGGGCAGAGAAACGCGTGTCTTGCAGCGCTAATAGGAGCCTGTTTTGTTATCGATCTATCAAAGAAGTTGCATTTTGAGCTTTCTAAAATTACCTTTGTCACTTCTTGCTTTCTAGAATGCCATGCCCACCACCCAAGATGGATTTAACCCTGGGATTGGATCAGAAGAACCTGAAAATTCTCAGCCCGGCGCTTGCTGCAGTTCATGAATTGAAAAACTTGTTATTAAGGCTATTGAATGGACGCCGAGATATGTTTAAATTACTCTGTGGAATTGAATGTTGTGGTTAAACTTGCTAAATTATCGTCTATAGTCACTGGTTTATCGCTTCTGGTGAAGAGCTATGTATTGCAAGTAATGATGGGTCTCGTTTACTGACTGAAGATTTTGCATGAGAATTATAGAGTTTTAACCCAATTTTCTTCACTGATTATCTTAAAACCGCAACCAAAGGAATGCTATGTGCTCCCCTGAACAAACGGATTTATCAATAACCAAGAAGAATTCAGTTTAGATGTAAATAAACCGTCTCGAGGCGGGGATAATGCGACTCACAAAGTAACGTGGTAGACCCACCACAACTTTCGTATGAAACAAAACCAAAGAGATCCCGTATCACTTGAAAATTTCAATTGATAACGTTATTAAAGGCGTATTATAGGGATAGTTTCGCAAGGCTTGGTAGAATGGAACTTTGTCGTTTTGTCTGCGTCCTGGACGATTTTGACGTCAACAAATTACATTTTCAACAATAATGATGAAAATTGAAGTCAATCTTCTTACCCTTTAAGATTCGACTCTAGGGGTTCATCTGTTTCTATAGTCCGTTAGCTTCAAGTTTCGAGACATAAAAATCCTTATTAGTCAATAATGTGGAATCTAGCCTTATGATCGTGGTCGACATTTTGGATCACACAAGATGTCAATTATACATAATGTAAAGCTTAAGTCTTGCCAACACATAAGATATTTGTAGGGTTTGTAAATTTTATAACCTGCTGTCAAATGACTGTTAAAAAACCAAAACCAATGTAAACACAAAAGCAAATATAATCATAACAAAGGTTTGCGTCATCATTAGCCAATAAGGATCCAAAGTGAAACAGCAAACTACTAAAAGCGCGGGAAAACACAGGCGACCAAGTAACGATTGGTTTTGTTGTGTCTGATTAGTTTTAAGGCATAGCGCGAGTTTTCGAGACCAATCACAGACGTAAAGAAGTAAAGGAAAACCAAACAAATCCCGGATTCCTTTCGACACTCAACTGATTACTCTAATAATACAACCAGACATGTCATGACTCCCAATTTCAATTTCAGACTCACTGAAGAGCATTTTCGAAAGCTTGTCTCTCAATAGATGAATTTACAGTTTAGACGCAAGTGACATAATGGTACACATCCCTAATAGCTGTACTTAGTAAAGCAAGGCTCTGTAATTTGTATAGTTTTGTTCCCACATATGTATGCATTTAAGAATTAAACATCCTTGAACACCTGTATCCGGTCTGTTTTCATGTCACTCAAGGACTTTTTAATCGTTAAAAATGTCTTTTTTTTAACCCAGAAAAGTTGGAAATTTGTATACTCCGTCGTCCGTAGATTTAAATCTGGGCATGATTCAGCTAGTCTATTGATCGTAAAATCTAGCGAACGTTACTTGCTGCCTCACCTCACGTAATAACCAGTTGCATCATCTGGCCCAAAATTGTGCTCGCATACTTGCCCGCGTAAAAGATTTCTCCTGAGAAGCTAAGCTTGGGGAGAACTGTGCGCTTCGTCGTCTATATCCAGAGAAAAATTTCCGATTATATCTTCACGCAGGAGGAAGACTGTCATTTATCCTTCAAGTCAATTTTGCAGCTCAAAGAAGAAAGGTAACGAACAGGTTAATGTAAAATGAGCCTGGTAGTTTTCTTCGTGTTAACTAAGTTGGAGTATCCTTTTGTACAGCGCTTTCACTTATACCATTAAATTTGAAATGAATACTAGCAAGGGAAATATCACATGAATGTGTTCAGAGCCAAATTACATTCGGTCAAGTGGCACTTTTAGACCCACAGCGTCCGAGCGACCAATTACAGATAAACAGTGCTTATCGTTTGTTCCTCGACGCGAGTTTCCAAAATAGAAGATTGCAGAAGAAGAGTAAACATCTGCGTCAAACCAAGGGTATTCCAGTCAAAAGTTAAATTTCACGCCCTTCAACAGGAACACGAAACCTTCCTTGCTAAATTTTACGTTCCAGTGTGTTTTGGATATTAAGGTCGTCAACAGTGTATGGCGACATACCACGGCTGCTGTCAATTCGCTAATCCCTCCCAATCACTGGAAAGTTTTTAATTAAACGTTCTTGTCTCAGTACGGCCTCTCAAATGGAAGTCCTCAGACAGCAAATCAGCGAGTGCAATCCGAGCGATGCGTTTGGGCCGACCATAAATCGATCACTCAGTCTGCTAAGAGTAGTTGTCCAAAGTAACTGTCCAGACATAACAAGGAACTTTATTGAATAAATTTATTAATACTGGATAAGCATAAAACTATGTAAAGACTTTGACTAAACCTTGCAAGTGTGTTTTGGGTATACACCGCTGAGTACATTCACGTTTGGAAACTCGACATCTTAAACACTTCTCATGAAAACGGTGCGGGTAAAACACATTGAAATATCTTATTTATAGCGCTAAAAATAGATTGTAATAAAACCGTTTTTTTTTTAAGCCATCAATAAGAATAAAGCATTTGGAAAGAAAGTTTCAGATTCTTCTTTGCATTTGCTATACAGTAAACATCATCGAAGGAAAACTGCTCAAGGGAATGCCCCATGTATACCCTAATGGTTTTCCTTATGAGTGCGAATTTGGAACTCGTTGGAATGATACTATGCTACTTTGCTCAGCTTGCACAGTTATTAATCAAATGAACGATTGTAAACAAGGCGTTACAATTAGTGTTCTTCGTAGCTCGTTGAAGTTCCAGTTGAGCCGCGGGTGACTTCCTCTCAAACAATGTGCTTGAGGACACTTTTACGCCTCGTTAGTTTCGCGTCTCTCTGTTTTCGTGACAATCCGTTTCAACAACATACCTTGTTGCCGTTTTGCAAACATGTAATGTTTCTCAACGCCGGCCTAGGCAATCCGTTGATGCTAGATAAAGCGTCACAATTGTGACTTTCGTTGCCGTATTCCAATAAATTCCTTTTTGTAGTGGTACTGTCGCAACTAATTCCTCGTTTGTATGGCGAGCTAATTCCTCCCAACGTGGATAAAACTTTTGAGCAGTGGTTGGCAACAGAATTAGATTGATGGACGTCACTTAACGGAGTGGAACTACGTCGCTTGGATGATTTTCCACCATGAATCTTAAATAGACTATGACCCGTCGTTACATTAAGAAAGGACTCAGATGAATCGAGACTTCGATCGGCTGACATCGCATCTTTTAGATTGGATACGAAGCCATTTAGTTTCCTATCTGACCTTCTTTTGTGCCTCCAGGCCTTCTCACGTTCTTGCTGACGGTCGGGGCCCGCATTGGGTGCCTTTCTTTTAAAGCAAACACAATCTTGGTAGCAAAACGATTTCTTGTCAGTTTTAGCTGAACTTCCTATGGGTGCGTCGAGTTTTAATTGGCGACCTTTGGACGGTGATGGGATATCCTTTCGGTTATGGACCAGCATAACATGCTTAACACGATCATCACGACAAGAAAATTTCTTTGGGCAGTACTCACACGGAAAAGCCAAGTGAAGGGAATCCTTCCCTTTCGGTTGCGACCCGTTCGTAGAAGTTCTTCCATCTGATTTTTCTCCGAAATTTGGAATGGCAGATAAGACTCCCTCACAACTTTCATTTTTCTTTGCATGCATCTCATTCACATGCCTCCTACGTTCAGGTTTGGAGGAGAAGCGTTTCCCACATTGCCCACATCTGTGATGAAGAGTTAACTTGGAGCGTTTTTTCCTTCTACGAAGCAATTTTTTTGCTACTGTCACTGCTGTTGGCGTAGAATGTCGGCCACTGAGGGAAGCATTGCCTTTTTCAGCATTTCTAACAGTTTTTGGCGCTGTGATTAGTAATGGAGTCTTTGTTACTCTAGCCACTTGGCGACTAGTCCCTTTGAAGCTACAATTTCCTTCCAACTTACACACGCGGCCCCGACTGGACGTCCTTTTCCTACTGTGTTTAGTATCGACATGCCTGGTAAAACCAGTGGCACTCCGGAATTTTTTACCACAGTCCTCACATTTCCAAGGAGCAAAATTTGTCGATACGCGCTGAATAGAATTGTTGTTGGAATCACTTGAAATTTGGCTACATAGGGGTTTCTTGGAAGTGTGGCTTTTCGATGAAAAGCCATTTTGGTGTGCAATCACCATATGCTTGTAGAAGCTGTTAATTGTAGAGAAACCTTTACGGCAGTACAAGCACTTAAATGCCCTTACAGCATTCCCGGTTGAAAGAGTCGTTGAACGATGTGGACGATCTCTTCTCTCTTTCATTTCCGTACTGGCGCTCATTTGGCTCAGCAATTCTTCATTACAACTTATGCAATGAAGACTTTTGTTTGTAGAGTAGTTAATGTTACAAAGTCGACAAACGTGTGTTGACTCAGCCACGTTGCTATCACTTGATTCATAGCAGTTGATCTTATCTGGCTTAATTCTTTGGTCAGGAACACGTACCTTTTTTCCGTGTTTGTTCTTGACATGTCTCCTTAAACCACTCTCAGTCTGAAGTTCTTTACTGCAGTACTGGCAACTCCAAAGACAAGTTTTGGTCTGCAAGTTTTGATTTCTAGTGTGGTTCTGGGCTTCGTTTCTTGTCTGGTTATCTAGGGGTTTACGGAAACCAGTGGGATTCGATCCAAAGTCATCTCGGTGAACAACCATCAAATGTTTGTAGAGACTGTTGATTGTTGAACAACCCTCCTGACAGTAGAAGCAATGGAAAGCCCTCACTGTTCTCTTTTTGGATGGCATCGATAAATGATTTATATTTCTTTTCCGTCCAATGGACTGCACGTTCTTCTGAATATTACTGTTAACAGGTGATTGCCTAGATTGTGGACTGATGGCTTCACCTTTCCTTTGCAATTTTCTACTGCAACGCATACAATACGATCGGTTGGCACTTTGAGCTGGACAGAATCTAACTTTGCAACTACGACACTGTTTTTTTCCCTTAACAGTGGTGGTTTTAAACTCATCTTTTCTCGCTGGCTTACATCCTTGATTAGGATCATACTTCTGCTTCGGGTGCTTGTTCTTCAGATGTTTACGCAAGCCACTGACACTTAGGTACTCTCTGCTGCAGAGCTGACACCTCCAGGTATCACTCGTAGCCTTCAATTCACTCTTACTGCTTTGGGCACAGAAACTGAAGTCAACGTGTAACTTCCGCATGTGTTTGAAGAGTCCACTGTACGTCGAGAAGTGCTTTGTACAACTAAGGCATTTGAATTTTGAAGAGCCGATTGTATTACTCTTCGACTGAAAAGTAGAACGGCTTCCGTGTTTATATAATACATGACGACTTAGACCCATACAAGTTCGGAAACTTTCGCCACAAAGCTTGCATTGATATGGACCGATCCGATGGGAACGTAATTTGTGACGCACCAGAGCCAACTTCGACGAAAACTCTTTTTGACAAAGTAAGCACACGCAAACATTCGTCATTCTGGTGTGTTCCCCCTTGCGTGGAGACGGGGAGTTGCTGGATTCAAATGACTGGATGCATGCGTCGCGTTCATGTTCCTTCTGTATATTGGTTTCAGCAACTGCTTTGATTTCATTTGAGGAAAGATTGGATGGAGAACTTTCGTTGTTGTTCTTTCGGAAGTGGTGTCCTCTATGATGACCCAGAATTTTCCTCGAATGAAATCCTTTTCCACACACTTCACAGCTAAACTGCTTCGGGGGGCTCACTGATGATACACTTTCCTTTGAACCTGGCACGAACTGAGAGCCAGATAAATCTCTGCTGGGCTGAGGATTCTTCTGCCGAACTTGCGACGAGGACGTCGAGGGAAATGCACCACGCGATTTTCTTTGTTTTACAATTGATGACTTCAAACTCTTCTGAGATGGGCTGCGGCTGTGGTGGCCGGTATGGCTACCTAAGGCATTCACAGATTTAAATGACTTGTTGCAGATTCTACAAATAAAAGCTGAGCTTGCAGCACTTCTTAGGGAGGGCTTTTCTTCCGACGAAGAGCTTGAGAGGAGCTCACTAAAAGACTTATCTCCACTCTGAGAAGGACTGCGGCTGTGGTGAGCAGAGTGGGAACGCAAAGAAGTCGAAGTTTCAAATGACTTGTTACAGATTTTACAGCTGAAGGTTGCACTTCGACCAAGCTTGGGAGAAGAATTTTCATTCAACAACGGACTTGCAAGAACTTTCCTTCTACCAGACTTCTGATTGTCTAAAACCTTTTGCCGGTTATGATGACCCCTATGTGCTTTCAACGACTCGAGCGACACGAACTCTTTCAAGCAAAT